CACAAGGTGTTTGTGGAAATGACCCCGAGTCCACTGCTGCAGAATGGCTTAAACCGCAGCCTCCTAAGGCCTTTCCCATGAAGCCTAGGGGCTCTCCTCTCAGCACCTTCGCTTGGAGTAAGGTCCAAAATGTTCCCCTCGACAAGATGTCGAGGGACCATTTCATTTGTACGGACAGGACAACCATTGAACCTGAAATTAACTCGGTACAAGACAACATTGCCAAGCTTGAATTGGCCATTGTGGCTAAACTCATGGGATGGCGCATTTCCTTCCCCTTTCTTCTCGAGGAGCTCAAACGAAGATGGTCTCATTTTGGGGAGTTTGAGATCATTACTGTTGGCTCAAACACGTTTATTTGTATCTTCCAAAGTTCTGCGGCTAGAGACGCCGTCCTTTCTAGTGGCCTTTGGATCATAGCGGGTAACATTATCGATATGGATAGATGGGACTCTTCTTATTTTCCCAGCTCCCTGCATGGTCTCCGCTCACCAATTTGGATCCGATTGCCCCAACTTTCCCACATCTATTGGGACATCAATAATATCACTCACATCGCTAATTCGCTTGTGGATCCACTTTGGATGGATTCACATACGAGTAAATGGGGGCGGTCTTCCTTTGCTAGAATCTGTGTCAAGATTGATCTATCACAAAAGTTGCTACCCGGTGTTTGGATCAATGGCATTCACGACAGATTTTTCCAACAGGTGGAATACAAGGGACTTACAAATTTCTGTTTTGACTGTGGCTTGATTGGCCATGTGAAAGGGAGTTGCCTATCCACCTAATAGACTAAGGATCTATCCCCACCCTAGGGGTCGGACATCCCAGCCCGTCCAAGACCAGCAAGGTGTGCAGCCCGTGGCCGATCCCTCATTAGACCCGAGACATCAATATCAGCCTAATCCTGCCGGCCAAGAGATGCAAACAGATGATTCTTTTGGGACTTGGAACTTGGTGACCAGGAAAAAGAAGAACAAACCGAGAGCCCACACGGAGCAGCCTACTAAGGGCAATAAGGAGGTGCCCGAGACGCCTAGGCCACCTCAACCATCACATGGCAACATCCAGCGGATGGAGGAGATCTCAAACAGAATTGTGAATTCCACTTGCCCCTCTCCTAAGGATCAAAGAGTTGTGTTCAATATGGAACAACCAAAACGAGATGACCCATCCTCTAGTATCAATCTTA